TGGGAGCTTACCTAGCAAGGTGTACTGTTGGTACGCGTATTGTAGTGTTAGTCGCGCCAGACACTTGTGCCTTCCCCTATCTCTGGTTTTCTCGGTATAAGTTTTCTCGGATACAGGGTTGGAAGTTGTTAGAAACTGGGGTAGATCCGTCGAGTCTTCATTCACTATAATCCAGCTATAGTCACCGCGTCTGCCTTCAGCTTGCTGGTGGACACTGTCGAGAGCGACGGTCGAACTGTCGTGCATTTGTGGGTTCATTTATGAAAGTGCTCAAACCAGCCTGTTAGCTTGGGCACCTGGCGGATCTACAGATGATGAATATTGCAGCGGTCTACAGCGAGGTTTAACCGCCGAAAAAACCGCTTTCGGATCTGACGAGTGTGCAGCTACAGACTACCAAGGCAGAGGTCTGAGGTGTAGAGCACCGACTACTCTATAAAATGCCGCAACTCTCAATGACAGCACTGTGGCAGAGCGGCTGTGAATAGCCACTGCATAATTTTTGTTTTTGTCACAACTTTCCTCTTGTTAGATTTATGCACTAAGACTCCAAACGGGTCAACAACGGGAAAACCATTTTAATGGTTGTTGTAGACCCGCCTGTACACAAATTACCCGCTGAATTCTGTCAGTTAGTAGTCAGCATTGAGGGTTTTCTATGGGTGTTGTGGGTTGCTTTCCATATTGTGTCCTTTTGGAGATGAGGAAATGAGATTAGGTAGTTCATTGACTCCCCATGCTCACATTTCTCCCAATCTTCGTTGTCCCCTCCCTAAAATCATCTTCTCTTAGAAGAAGCCTCACTAATACTGCCTAGAGTTGCCGATAGCCGTTTCGTCGAATTTTTGCAGCTAACTGACGCCGTTCCGCGGGGTTCAACGCTCCAGTGTGTCTCTCAGTGTCGCCCGTATACTTTATGGCAAAAGAAGTTTATGTAATGCACCTCATAAGCCCCTCAAATCCCAGCATTTCAAGAAACTTGCATTTTGATAATCGGGTTTCTCCGCAAACGTTAAACGATAATACAGAAGAGGAAAGTCTATAGATATTAATCAACAACAGTTCCAAACTAAATAAAATAAATTGTATATAATAATTGCTAAGGTATAGTGCAATGCCTATCCTAATTTCCCATCCATAGAATCCTCTAACCACCGTTTTCGTAGGACAAAATGCTAGGACTAGGTATTGATCAGTTGCACTACATAAACTATGGTTGCCACCTTTATTCCGTATCCTTACCCCGGATATTTCAATTAATGAGAATTTTAGATATTCACCATGGAAAATCGAATTCTCCAATCAGAAAACGTACCTGAAACGCTGGAGACGCACTAATGAGCTGAACCCCTCGCAGCTGCCCCACGCAGTGTTAATATAAGTGCAAATTGCGTGTCTGAACAAAAAGTTTGCATCTGTGTTGTCAGTATACTAAATAGCTGGCAAGTCGTATATCACTGATTGTCTGCTGGTAGAATGTAAAACTGCTATTAGAAACACTGAAGCTGATGCATTCAGCAAAGATATTTACATTAAATTTAAACGGAATCCTAAATATTTCGCGCCGAAGGATTTACTGTATGGGAATTTCCGCCATCTCGAACAGGGTTCAAAGTGACCCCTTGGTTGACTTGATCCCATACGTTCAATTACCTGCAAACCCTACTATCTTTTACAATTAAATCTATGCTTTGTATATCACTACATAATAAACTGGTTTATCCAATATATTTCAATCTTCATTTCAATCGTTGACGTAACTGAACGCAGACATTCTAGTAAGGTTTCCAAAAAAACATATGTATGCTACAGAAATGAAGAATTTTCAGCTGTCTGCGTTTTTACGTAAAATGCTGCATGTTCAATACTCCAAAACCTAAATGACACGAGAAGTCTGCACTAATTTATTTGTCCCCAGAATAATAGGCAGAGTACGGGATGGTGTATGGCTGCCTATTCGCAAAATATGAATACGACGCGATTATTCCGTTGAAACTGATAGTTTTAATGTAAACTTCATGTAAAATTTTCCAATCGAAACTTGGAGAATTCCGCTCAAGAAGTGAGTCAAAACTCCTACGGCCATTTTTAAAGAATTTAAACCACGTACGCTGAGACCCTGTTTACTGTTCCTTAAAAGCCTCTTATTCATTCGCAGTTAGTCAATTTAGCCGAAATAAATGAGGAAAAGACACCATTTTCGGGCTTTTCTCAGTATTTTTTTTTATCAAACTAACTACAGAGAAGCGTAGTGATGTTCTTTAAGAACACGGGACCACAATAAGTCACGGCAAGAGTAGGTTAGTTGTCCGCCTTAAAGCCGAGTCGTGGTAGCACGTATCGCACCGTCAGTGCCATGACTGGAACACCCGTCGGGGGTTCTGTATTCTTGCCTCTGGTAGCGCATATATCGACATGGGTGTAGGGTATCGGCCTCGGTGAGTTGATTCCATGCTGTTAAAATGAAAATGATTTCATAAGATGATGAGTAACTTTACAGCAGCAAAGGAACCAAAAAGGTGAGTTACAGGAGTCAGTTCATAAGGCGAATATATGATCGATAGAACAGGAAAATTAATGGCCTGACGTCTCGGGTTTTAGCTTGTAGCCATTTTTAGAGACAACCGCTTACAAGGGTAATAGGGGACTCACAAGCTCTCCGGTTGCGGCCTACTCAACGGGGCCTGGCCATATAGTCAAATTTAACGCGTGCGAACTCCTCACAAGAGGTTACAACCAAGCGAGCGTCGAGTTACTCGATTCATAGTTCGCAGGCTCGCAATCCATCTACAAACGCAACGACTTGTTGCTCCCGTATTCCGTACTGAAACTTGGCCTGAGCAGGGGAATCCGGCACGTGGGGAGGACGCGAGCCATCCACAATTTCACTGACAGCAAGCCTAGATGTCGCGTAATCACCCCGCAACCTCCAACACGGATAATGAAATGCAGCAATTATCAATTTGGACGCGGAATGCCAAGCCTGCGTCGCATCAATCACGGCTTGAAGAGCTGCTAAAGTTGGTATTTATATGATCGTGTGGCCGCTACGGACTATAAATGCTGTTTAATCCCGTTTCTGCAGTTGTCTCCGATGATGGTTTCAAGCCAGAATCTGAAACGTCAGGCCGATGAACCTCTTGTTCGCGGGGTCGCATCTGCTCAAGGGAAACCCCTGCAGAACAATATTTCGTAGACACCAATTTTACTCTTGCAAAAGCCTGGTCCAACCATGGCGTACCATGAGCCAAATTATGGTCAATGGATATTTCCAACCGCAAGATATAGTGACTTTCAAGTTCCTAGTACGAAAATAAGTAGGATATAATTAGGAGACATTTAACTGAACAGATCACACTGACGTATGTTGTAGACATAAATATTATCTTTGCAATAGCCGGGTTGGATCTTTGTTTTTCATCAGCCCCGTTAGGGTCATGAGTTAGGGAGACTGTAACGTCCACATTGTAATGCTATGCTATGCTCAGTGAGCCAGAGCCCAATAACAAGCTGGACAGACGTAAGATTCGAACAAAAGATGTATGCGTGCTTAAGAATACACCCTATCCTGTATCGGTATCCTGCTTCGTATCTAGCAAATGGGGATACGCCATCAGGCCCAAATGCAGACTGCAGTTTTATTCCTAATCTCAGAACTAGAGTCCACTAAGTGATCAGCAAACCTTCCTTATCTTCCATGTAATGCCACCTTAGGTTGTACCGTAGAAGAAACCAGTATTTTGCCTCTGATTCCGCGTCCGAGGTTGCGGGAATACAGGAAAGTGAAGGTAATGGTTTAGTCAACAGCAACCTAAACCAAGGGACCGAATAAGCCGGAGGGCAAATAAACACCCCTATTTTCACAGCAAAAGTAGTTAGTTATAATCATTATCCTTACTTAGGCCGGGTACTCCGTCGTTGCCGGGAAATTAATAATCACTTATCGGGCATGGTATCAAATAAGACGGATTAATCATGCCTTAGTTTCTGCAGAGCACTAGTCCCGATTTTTGCTTGTCAATCGGTGTTCGAAAGCTGACGTAGGATTTGGGATCTGTGGGCTTATAGCAACTTCGTTATTATATATTAATGTTGTAACTTACCATACTATGCGCCCTCTAGATAGTACATGGGCTGTTAGTATGATAAGGTACTACTTCCATGTATACTGCTTCTATCTGCGCGTCGGTAGCATTTGTATATTATGCGGATATCCCGCAGAGGATGACAGAGTTCGGTCCAAATTAATACATAAAATTTCGTTCTTTGCCTCTGGACCTTAAATATACTGATGTAAACCGGGAATGGAAATTAATTTATAAAGAAATTAAAAAGCTTAACCCCGTGACTTTTAGGTTCGATATTCATGACTCCTAGGGTGGCCTACTATTGATGCGCGATTGCTGCTCATAGGCAGCAAAAGCAGGACCTAAATTATCCTTCCAGCAGATCTGCAAAGTTTCTTTCAGCTGTAATGGCAAAATGTGCGTGAAGCTATATTGCCGGTCTAGACAGAGAATATGCAGTTTTTTAATCTCCTGAGAAATTAATTTCTGTTCGCAGTATATATCAGTACATTTAAGGTCTATAAGCGTAGACTGAAACTGTAAGTGTATATTTGGGTTAAAACCCATCAACCACTAAGAAATATCCACTTGCTTACGCCAGACAGACTTAAGTAGTATAAATTGATGCTCTCACTTACTATATTAACAGCCTAGGTACTAGCTAAAAGGCCCAGACACATGGTTCGTCGGTATTCTGCCGCTGCTTGACACAGCTGCGAGAGGTCCGGCTCATCAGTGGGTCTCCCAGCTTTCCGTCTGTATTCTGGTTGATATACCGGTTTTGAAAGTTCAACCCAAACATACGCTTACAATTTCGGTCTACGCCTATAGACCTTAAATATACTGATATATCTCGCGATCAGAAATTAATTTCTCTGGAGATTAAAAAAGCTGAACTTTCAAAATCGATCAGAAATTAATTTCTCCGGAGATTAAAAAGCTGAACTTTCAAAACCGAAAACAGAAATTAATTTCTCAGGTGATTAAAAAGCTGACCTTTCAAAACCGGTATGTCAACCATAAAGCAGACAGGAGAAGCTGGGGGACCCACTGATGAGTCGGACCCCTTGCGGCTGTGTCAAGCAGTGGCAGAATACCGACGAAACACGTGTCTGGGCCTTTTAGCTAGTACCTAGGCT